GGATACCCGAGGGCCTAGTCTCCAGTCCGCACTCACCGACAGAAACGCTCTCAGGGGCTCCAGAGAGCAGTCCGAGAAGGCTCAGGCAGCTTCACTCACAACAGCCAAAAAATGGAAGTGCCCCCATGCCCGTCAGCAGGTAAATGATGGTGGTGGACTCCCAGCATGACACACATACACACTGGCCACCCAAGACCACACGGACGAGTCGCTCACCCAGCACTGACTGAAATAATCCAGCACCCCAGAATGTGTTCTCTGTGGCTTCCTAGATATAAAGATTAAACACAACCACAGTGGTAGGTGGTAAAACCACAGCAAAGGCACATCCCATCCCCCAGGAACAGAAATGAGCAGCCACCACATCCGGCTTGGGGACATCTGGGTGCCAGCATTCCAGGGAAGGCTGGGCTGGGACAGGAGTCCTCCAGCGCCACTCTGTCCACAGCCTGCCCCTCACACAGGTGCAGAGGCTTACGGGCCGACCCTACCCCAGAGGCAGGTGGCACAGGCGGCACGTGCAGCACCAGGGCTGCAGACAGAAGTGGAGTGCATGTGGCAGAGGTGCCCAAGGACAAGGGAACAGGCATGTGGAGCAGGCTGTGGAGAAAGAACACCAGGTTTGCAGAGAGAAGGGACAGTCACCTGTGAGAGGGTTCCTGGGGGGGGGGGGGGGGGGGCGGGCGGAGTCACCTGTGTGGCAGTTCAGGCAGAAAGCCAAGATACTTAAAGAGAAAAGAGCCAGGGTGGAGAAGGCCCTAGCACAGAGGACCTGACAGCCAGGGTATTGGCTCAGCCCCCAGGCACATGCAGATGACGGAGAACAGTGTCTAAACCAGGAGGATACCGAGTGTGGTGCCCTGGCAAGCAATGGGAATCAGCATCAGGGTGCAGTGGGAGGGTGACCAGTGAGGCCATCTCTCCCCAGGGGTGGGCCTGCTGCCAGAAACTGAGAGCAACTGGCCAAGGAGACAAGGCCAGGGGGAGAGCAGGGCCAGGAAGGGACCAAGTGGACCTACTGTGGCAGCCAGCCATCAACCCAGACATGTGACTGAGCAGAGGAGCCTCAGAAGGTCCACTCGGCCCGGGAACTGCCTAACCACGGCCAAGGGAACAGAGACCTCCATCCATGCCAAGTCCTGGTGGGTGGCAGACTCATGAGCAAACAGAACCCTGTCACTGTCTTAACTCCTGGTTTGGGGTGGGCTGTGTACCAGCATTAGAAAACCAGAGCAGGGTAGGGGACAGAGAGAGGCTGAGGAGCATCAAGTGGACATTGGTGAGAACCATGAGACATGCATGGTGTGTGCAACACACTTCTTTAGGGGCAGTGCATGACCCAGGGCTGCAGGCTCCTGGGAGCTCACTTGAGTCAGATGTGAGGGGGCATCTGAGTTAACACTGACTCTGGGGCCAGACTCCTGGCTGTGAGGCCCACATGCAACCCCCATAGTGAAGCTCAACCTGTTCACCTGACTCATCCCTGGCCAGGAGGAGATGAGACAGAGGGAAGTGTGAGGCCTAAATGAGGTCACCTAGAGGACACTGGCTGTTTTGTGACATTCCAGTTCAAGTGAGAGCTCCCTAGGGTGGAGGCCACGCTGGCTCACCTGGCACCTGGCAGGTGCTCAGACATCTGTTACACAAAAGGGTGCAACAGGGTTACAGGAAGAGATCTCGGGAAAAGTGGCCCAGGGTGGGGGAGATCACGCGGAGCCCACATGGGTGCCCCACTTATCATGCCAAGAAAACTAGAGACTTGGGACCGCTTGAAACATGCAGGGGATGTGTGGAGATGCTGTGCCGCAGGAGAGCAAAGGGGGCTCCAGGTGGTTCTGAATTTTAGGCTTAAAAAAGTGTAAAGACCTTTCCTTCCCTTTCACAAATCTAATCTGAAAAAGAAAAAGTCAGTGTGGACATGGTCTTATGAGGATGAGCTCACACTTCCCACTGCGAAGGAGCTCAGGTCTCCGAGCATACAGCGGGTTGTAGAAGACATTTTAGTGTGGTGCAAGTCAGAAAGCCATCATTGTCTTATACTTTGTGAAAGACTTCTTACATTTGTTAACCAAAGAAGGCCCTGCATTTGAACCTTTAGAGCAGTGGGAGGAACCTTTAGAACATTAGAAGGTTCTTAACCTTCCTAATGCCACGACCCTTTAATAGTTCCTCACGTTGTATGTGGGCGTATCTGCAGGTGGGCAGACCCGCCTAGAGACAGATGGAGGAGTTGTGTCTAGGTTCCTAAGACCATTGGAAATATGTGTTTTCCGATGGTCTTAGGCGACCCCTGTGAAAGGGTCATTCAACCCCCAAAGGGGTTGCGACCCACAAGTTGAGAACTGCTGCTTTAGAAAGTTAATCAGTCATAATTGAGCTGCCATTACATGCCATTGTACAGTTAAAGGGAAAATATGGAAGCAAAAAACAGTCTTAATTCCCATATCAGGAACTGAGATTTGGAGACGGTATGCCGCGTTCCTGTGGGGAGCTGCTCTTCCCCCATATGAGGTTCTCGCAGGCTGCCAATGGATCACAAACCCTGAACTCTGCCCTGTGACCCAGCAGGTCCATTTAAAGCCATGGCCAGGAACTGGCACTTGAGAGCTGCCTAGAAAGCTGCCCAGGAGGCTCTGCAGAGCTGGGATGCCATGGATAGGGATGGCATGCGTTGTTACACTTGCCTACCTCCCCACCCAAAGAGGAAGCTGGTCTCCCCAGGAGGGGGCTGAACAGTGGAAAGGGCCAACACGGGAGTTGGAGCCCACCCAGGCAGCCCCACTCCTTCCTTCCCGGCAAATTCCTGTTGCTTAAGCAGTAGGATCTGGATGGGTGTCCATTCTCCTGCCTGCTCCCAGCATCAGCCTGGTTCTGGTTTGTAGGCTCAGATGGACTTGGCACCATGCCCAAACCACCCTCAGTCCATAGTGGTTTCAGGACAGGAGCTCAGGCCTCAGATCTCACAGCCTGAGGAGGACCTGATACTTCAAGGTGCAGCAGAGCCCCTTGCCTCAAGATCCCCAGATGGTATCTCTTGTGCATGCTCCTCCAGCCTCACCAGTAACATCACCAGCTATATATAGGCCTGGCTCCAAGTCAGCACAGCCTCTCCCCAGGAAGCCTTTCTTTAAAAAAAATCTTTCAATTACAATTTACTTTCAGTATTATTTTCTACTGGTTTCACATGTACAGCATAGTGGTTAGACAATCAATAAACATTACAAAGTGTCCCCTTGATATTTCCTGGACTTCTCAGCCTCTTCCACAGGGAGCAGCTCTGCTGCTCCCCAAAGACCAAAGCTTCTTGGACATGTCCCTGAGGACAGTTTGGTTGCTCAAAGATTTCTCTTAAACCTCCACCAGTGATAAGCGGTTCTAATTTTCTTTATGAAATTTGCACATTTCCACCATTAGCATTTATAACCTTGTACATAGTTAAAACAGTTATTGGTTGCAACTTCAAAGGATTCAGGAAGATCAGCCAAACAACATAGGGGAGATAAGAACACAATCAGCATAGCTTCCTCTAGTCTCCACCACCTCATTATTCTTTACAGATGGAGAGAGATTTTTTTATTGTAGCCCTTAAACTGTGGTACCTTTCTGAGTCTGATCCCTTTGGAAATCATTAAAGCCAGGGGGCCTTTTCCGAAGAAACAATGCATACATAGCCCTCATGTGGCATGCACTTGCAGATGCTCCAAGCTCTCAGAAAGTTCATCAGCACCTCACTCCCATCACCCATCACAGAGCCCTGTGATTGTGACCAAGTGATGGGAACAGGGGCTGGTACCAGAGACAGGATATTGGAATCCAGTTTAAGGCATGGGGAAGCCTTGTGGTCTGTCTCACCGACTCCTTCATATACACACCCTCCATTTCCTGTCTGGTGCGAGCTCTCCCTCCCCAGCCCCATCACTCCGTCCCCGGATGTGATCCCAGTCACTCAGAGTTCAGGTCAGTGTTTACTGATCACGTCCTCCAGGCCAGGGGCTGGTCTGGGCTCTGGGGAGCCCCCCTCCCCCGCTTGTCCTCCCTGAGAGGTTGGCCTTGGGAGTGTCAGGAGGCGGTGTCGGCCATGGGAGCTGGGTCCTTTATCCAGCGTCCCCCAGGGACTCCGAAAGTATCCAATAAATGTCAGGGGAATCAGCCAATGAAACGCGCAGGTGGATGACAGCATAGCTGGTTAATTCCAAAAGGTGTCAGATCCTCGGAGAACACACAATGCCTATCAAAATAGCAGTCCCAACAGGGACTCGCAAATGAATTTCTTTCCCACCGAGTCGCCAGGCTTCTGTACAAAACTGAAACCGCAGAATAAAGGGTTTCTCAGGACCCTCCCTCAAAGGCGGGCACTGGACCCAGAGGTGCGTAGGAAATGCAACGCAGCCAACCTCTTTATCCTGACTGCTGGTTCTGTACTCCCTTGCGATAAGAAAACAGAATACCCCCCGGGAAGCTTCGATTTGCAGACTGTAGACCCGACACTTTGCCCGGGAAATGGTGACGTTTTTGCCCGACCGAGAGGGGCTGGGACCCTGGGAAGGGTAGCGCAGTCCTTACCCCAGAATCTCGGTCATTATGGGCCCCTGGACACAAATGGCCGTTTCGTGCTGTAGGAAAGTGGCTTCATTTTAAACCTGTTTAGTCCTAATTTCCCGCCGTCTTGTGGGGAGCAGCACCCCAGGCCAGGGCGTCGGTAAACAGCGCTTCTGTAGCTGGATAGGAAGGGGGGAGGGGGGTGTGACTGCCACTCGGGACTGCAAGGGGCACCGATATGAAGAAAGGTAAAGTGCCTCACTTGGGGCCCGATTATAAACCTATCCTTTGCATCGCCAGTCACACCCGCCCGCGCCGCCCGCGCCGGACACAGCGCCGACCGCCAGGCACCCCAGGGCGAGGGCGCAGGTGACGGGTGGAGCTGGCCGGCCTGGAGTCCTGCGTCCCCGAGGGGTGCCCATCTGCCCCGTTCCTCCGGACCGAGCCCCACCGCCGCTTACCTCGCAGACGCAGGGACTGCAGCCGCAGCGCCTCCGCGACTCGGCCGCGCGCGACCGGGTGCCTGGCGGTGCGCTCGCGCCGCCACCGCCCCGGCACCGCCCCGGCACCGCTCCCACTGGTCCGCTCGCGCCCCCCCAGCCCCGCCCCACCCGGCTCCACGGCCCCCACCCCCGCGCGCCCCACGCGCCCCGCGCGCCCCGGGCCCCTAGCCCAGCCTGCCCCGGCCCCGCCCACACTGGCCCGCGCTCGCCTCCGGTCCCGCCCCGGCCCCCACCCCAGCCCACCCGGGTGCTCATTGAGGCCCCGCCTCCGGTCCTTCCCCACCAAGGGAGCGCGCTGGGTGCACAGAGGCTGGTCCGAGCGCCGCCTCTGCCTTACAAGGCCGTCTCCGCGCAGGCCCCGCGTCCACTGGCTCTACGCTCAGGGCCGTGGGAACCTCGCGGGGCAGTACCCGTACGGCCGCAGCTGGCCCTCCAGAGCCCTCGGGACGGCGAGTCCGGTCTCTGACCCCCTCCACCCCCGCCCCCAGGACGCGGGGCGGACGAGGGACGCGGCACAGGGAGGATGAATGGGTGCGCAGATGGGCCTTCCAGTGCGGGGCGGCCTGGAGCGCCGGCCTTGAGGAGGATCAGGGTGGGAGGGGACCCGAACCCCACGGAAGGTGCGCAGGTCGGGGGCCTAGGAGTGAGGCAGCGTCCTGAGAGTTGTAGGGTGTATCGGTGTGGGGGTGCGGCGAGCACTTGAGTGGAGCACGCAGGCAAGAGCAGGTCAGTGCCCGGCATAGCACCACGCGCAGCTGAGTCTTCTTTCCCTGGAACAAGCAGCGGCTGCGCCCCCTTCTCAGCCCTCCACTCCAGCTTGAGGCCCTCCTTCTTTCTAAGGACAATGTGCGCCTCCCTGGTTACCTGTGTGAAAAGCCCCATTCCGAAATCCTCTTCCAATTGCTCCCCTTTATTTGCCTTGGGGCACCTGCTGCCCGTTTCCCACCTGGGCTGGCTGTTAGCAGGGGAGGGGCCCTGTCAGCCTTCATCAGAAGGTTCTGGGGCCAGGATGATGGGGAGGTACTGGCCTGAGTGCTGGGACTTGGGAGGCAGGGGTCTCCCTCTCACCCTCCAGGACCCCTCCAGTGGAAGAGGTCTCCTCAGGCTACCGAGAGGCCAGTCTCCAGGGCAGAGAGTAGCCTTGAGGTCACTTCCAGCTTCACTGCTATGGTTCCCTTGAAGCTAGCCAAGGATCCCCACCCAGGCTCTGTCTTCAGCCACCTGGCTGACAAACACCCCCCCCCACACACACACACACACACACACACAGACACACAGCCTCACTCTCCCAGCTGCAGACCTCTGCTCCCATAAACATACTGCCAGACTGGCCTCCACCTCCTGGCTGAAGACACCGCCCCCCCCCCCCACACACACACACACCCATCCTCCAGGTGTGTCCTGCTGTCAGCACATCACCTGAATCAGAAGTGCCTGAGGCAGGGAGGAGTCAGCACGTGGGAGCACAGCTTCCAGGCTCACCTTAGATTCCAGCCAGGTCAGGGAGCCCAGCAAAGGCAACAGAGGAGGTAGGGGTGCTGAGCCAGAGAAGGGGCAATAGGTGTTGGCTTTCTACCAGACCACGGTAGTCCTGATGCCTTCCTCTCAACCCATCTGGTTTCTGCTTCTGCTTAATACTGGCCCAGAGGTGGCCTTCTAATTCTCATTCCCCTGGAAAGCTCCATACGCCAGAGACAAGGCAAGTCTGAAAACTTAGAATTGGGAAAACTCAAGCATGTCCTCTTGAGGCCCCACTCTCCCGACTCATGGTTCTCTTCTATTTAGGTTGAAGCTGGGCTCTGCCTTCTCTGTGTCCACACAGCCCTAAGCACTGCTGTTGCCTGGAAGTTATTAACAATGCAAATGAAGCCCTGGCCAGATTGGTTCAGGGCTCGGAGCATTGGCCTGTGGACCAAAGTCTCAGATTCGATTCCGGTCAAGGACACATACCTTGGTTGCAGTTCTGTCCCTGGCCCTGGTTGGGGTCATGCAAGAGGCAACCAGTCGATGTGTCTCTCTCACATCGATGTTTCTATCTCTTCCTTCCTCTCTCTCTAAAAAAAAAAAAATCAATAAAAATATATTTAAAAGAAAACAATGCAAATGAAATAATGAAAAACATTATTAGTATATTCCAATAATCGTATTAGCCAGGGGATTAATCCCATTTTTCAAAACTGGCACAAATGCTCTGACATAAATGCGGTTGATTTTGCCAATGGTAAAATGGCATTGGGAGGTGCCATGCTTCGGAAGCAAACATGTTCAAGGGACATAACCACTGGGAAGCAGAGGCCAGGCATGGGGAGAAGGAGCTCAGCTTTGCGGGGCCCTGAGCAAGCAGACAGCTCACCTGCCCAGGACAAGCGTGGAGGCTCAGCTGTGTTGCAGGCCTGCCGCTTTGCTTCTGGATTGTCAGTGGCTGGAGATGGGGTTGCTGTCTGTGCCTTTCCTGGCCGTCTGTGAATGAAGATTCGAGTTCATGGGTATGCTGTTTCTTAACAGTGAGTCACTTCAGTCCACACTTAGAAAATCACCTAAGATAGTGGTGTAGGGTCCTCCCAAGCTGGGAAAGCCCTGCTTCATGATGGAATTGGATGTTTTATCTAGGTTCAGGTGTCAGAGTGCCCTTCATCCTGGATGCTGCACCCTGGCTCTTGGTTCACTGAGACCTGGACAACCTCCATTTACCCTCCAGTTATTAAAACCCCACTCGCAGTGGGCAGGGCAGGTGTGTGTCAACACAGAGGCCATATAGAGGCTTTGCCTGGAAGCTGGAAATATCAGCATTTGTAGGAAGGACACTGCTTGTTTCCTGGGGCCCAGAGAACAAAGGACCACACACTGGCAACTTAGACAACAGAAATCCTCTCGGTGCTGGGGCCAAATGTCCCAAGTTAATGTGTCAGCGGCCACCCTCCCTCCAGAGGCTCGAGGGGGAAACTTCCAGCCTTCTCCAGCTCCTGGTGTTTAGGTGTCCCTGGGCTTATGGCTATGGCTGCATCACTCCAACCTCTTCCTTCATCTTCACGAGCTCCACCCTCATTTGTCTTCTTCCCTGTGTCTCTGATAACATTGTCATTGGATTTAGGGCTATCCAGATAATTTAGGATGATCTCATGTTGAAGTCCCTAATTATATCTGCAGAGACCCTTTCTCCACTCTTTCTAAGAGAGTCATGTTCTGAGGTTCTGGTGGACTGTCACCCCAGTACAGATACTCTTCCTGGCTCTCCCACCGGTGGTCATGTCAGCCTAGCAGCCATGGCAGGCCACCTGTAGATGGCTCCAAGTCCCTCACTGCCCTCCCTGGCTTCTGAGTAGGTTTTGTGTCACACAGGTGGGAACCTGAAGGACAGCCCAGGTGTCTCAAGTGGTGGGCATAGGGGAAGGGTCCCACCCAGGCTCCTTGCCAGCCCTCCACTGAAACAGCCACCCAAAAGCCAAAATTTAAAATTACTAAGATTGCCTGGCTGGGTGGCTCAGTGGTTGAGCATCAACCCATGCACCAAGAAGTCACCAGTCCGATTCCTGGTCAGGGCACATGCCCAGGTTGTGGGCCTGATCCCCAGTGGGGGGCATGCAGGAGGCGGCCAATAGATGTTCTCTCTCATTGATGTTTCTATCTCTCTCTTCCTTTTCCTTCCTCTCGCTCTAAAATCAATAAAAAATAAATAAATAAATAAAATAAAATTACCAAGACGGATATTAAGTTTATTGCCATTAAAATGACTTTTTATTGTTTGCTATAAAACTTTCTAAAAACTGCTGAAGAATGTCCTTAAAATCTACTTATCATAAACTTATCAACATCACTAATCAACAAGATTAAAAACATTATACCAAGTCCATTTTGAATTCACTTTCTTTTTTGAATAAAACAGACATGTTTAGAAAACTATGAATGTCTTATAAAATAGTCTCCAACCTGAGTAAATGCAGAGTTCATTAAAATCACATGTAGCCAAAAAAAAAAAAAGAGGAGGAAGAACTCTAGTTCCCTGTTTTTTTGGCTCTCTTAGAAAGATTGGAGGCTTGTGCAGCCAGAGGGGACTCGAGTGTAGGTCTTGGGAGCCCCTCTGGGCACTGGTGTCTTGGGGGGTGGGGCAGGGAAGGATCTGGGGGATGTTCACACATTTTTTTCCTTTAGTTTAAATACCTTCTTGGACCAGTCCCCTCCCCAAGGTCCAGGTCATGAGGCATTATGGTCAGGGGCGACTCTGGAGGAATGTCTACTTCAACCTCAGTGGACTGAGGAGCAGCTGAGCTCCACACTGGGGACCAGGGACAGGTTGGTCTTGGTCCGCCCCTGAGGGATTCAGAGGCCCACTCAGCTGAACTCTTTGGCCCAGCACAGAGTCACCCCGTTTAGGTTCTAGAAGTTGGTTCAGCTGCAGAGGACCTCATCCTGGGGGCCTACCCCTCATCCAGCTCCTTCACAATGACGATGGTGGGGGATAGCACACTCTGGGCCTCCTGGCCCTGTGGGAGGGCCACCTGGGGGCTCCTGAGATGGCACATTCTGGCTGTGGCCATGCAGTTCAGGAGCAGCAGTTTTCTATGGCTGACTCCGCAGCCAGGACCAGAATCTCGGAGACGGGCTCCTGGGTGGGGCACTCGGCCAGCGCCAGCCCCTCGGCTCCTGCACAGCAAAGGAAAGTCACTGTGAGTGCCCACAAGGGAGAATGCACACAGGAATAGAGCGCAACCCTATCTGCAATGGAGACCAAGGCTAGGTTCTTGGGACACCTTGCTGTGGGGGGGGGGGGGCTGGCTCCTGGAGGGGACACCTAGATTTACCCACAGAGCCCACTCAAAGCGCAAAACAAAGTATCTTGAAAAGCTAAGCCTTCTTTTCAGCACTGCCTCCTTCCACGGGCAGGAGATTGCAACGAGAGAAATAAATGGGAACATTAGCTGTAGTATTCATTATACTGCCAAAGATAAAAAAAATTTAGCAACAAAGTATATTCTAGAGACAGACATGCCTGGCTCTCTCACTGACGAGTTTT